TCTCTTGCGAGTGCGCGGTGCAGGTACGAGGAGGAGATGGTGTTCTTTGGGTAGAGCACAGATTGCAGCACAGGATAATAAAGCTCATTTCATACAACAGTAGAGCCCTAAATAAATAAGCATAAGTATTATGCTCTTATTCTCAATCAACTATCCTTTAATGTTCCAAGGCTATCTTCGCGTTCACAATTATTTTTCAATTATCCTACCTCTAACTTTAACTTAATTAATAAACAATTATGTCCTCTAACTTTAACTTAATTAAAAATGAAATAGATATTCACAACACTTCACCTAATCAAATAATCTCCATCTCATTTTTTTCTTATTCTGTTTATAAATATTATTGTTACATTCTGCATTATATGTAATTTTATCTTAAGCATTTTATGTTACTAACTATATATTGTAATTTTGTATATATTTTAATTGTTATTCATTATGTAAAAATTGTATTTTTGAGTCCTCTTGGAGAAATCTGTGGGCTATATATTTAAATAAATAAATAAATAAATAAATAAGTAGTAGTAGATAGTAGATAGTAGATAGTAGTAGAGCATATTAAAGACGTATTCAAATTGCTCACGAATGAGAAATATGAACTCTGATGGAGAATATTTAGAAATTTACTAGAGAGAACTCAATCTGCGAAAAAGGTAATGATTTGGAATAAGACCCTCTTTAGATGACTAGATAAAAAGGACTCTACTGTCGACAAAATAGAGTCTCGAATCACAAAATAAACATAGCGGTGTATGGCATCGTGCCTTAAGGCAAATTGCTGGAACTTCCCGTACCGAAAACTAAATTTAAAAAAAAACTAGCAAAACTTTGAACTAGTGGTGTATGGCATCGTGCCTTAAGACAAATTGCTGGAACTTCCCGTACCGTAATAAAATATGCGTGAAATCTTAAACGTTTTCAAATATATTATTACAACTACTGTGACTTTCATTATTTTTGCTATATTGTTATATCTGAGCAAATCAAATGTAAATCATTAATAAATCAATTTATCTCCAGAACATTAACAATCGTCATTTCATTTCGAATTCAATTAAAAAAAAATAGTTGCCTAATTTACACAAAATTAGTAGAAAAAGTGCTCCCGTATAGTCACAGTCCGCATTTCCAGAAACGCATTTCCAAATAACTCTGTGAGATATTTTCACTTATACTGTGATTAGCTTGGCGGCATTTTCACATTTTTCAATAGTTTTCACAAAATTGAAAAAGTACATAAACAGTCTAAAAACGCACTTGGGTAAACATTTATACCAGAGTGGCGCTTAGACTGTGCTTAGCCTGGGTAATTTTTTTATTTGAATTTTTAATCCAAAATTACAAAAATTTTTTATGGAAAATAAATAAAGATTAACAATTTTTTATCCTCAAAAGCAATTGTTTTGTCAATACAAGCAGAAAGTTTCTTAGATCTAAGAATGATCGATCATTCAAATCGGACGCTTAGTTTACTCAAAAACTGCCAATTTTTGCACATTTAGCTCTGTATCTTCGAAATGGAGGGAGCCTGTCTTTGCCAAAAACTAATCACCTTTCCTCCCCGTCGTTTTTTTTCGGGTTCCGTACCAAGATTTTTAATTACGGTACGTGAAGTTCCAGCAATTTGTCTTAAGGCACGATGCCATGCACCCCACTAGTTAACCTCCCGCAGGGTAGTTATAGTAATGGGCCCAAAATCGTAAATGAAAATTTTTGCATTTCTCGACGTTTTGAAGGTTTCTGAACATTTTACTGGCATACCTCAGTAACTAAATGGATGTGTGTGTGTATGTCCGCATCTTTTCATCCACGTTTTCGGGCGCATGGATCAACCGATTTGAATGGTTTAAAAAAACATTCGATCCCTATTGATAGGGAGATGTGCTGATTAATTTTTGGCAATGGCAGATCCAGCCGTTTTGAAGATACAGAGCTAAATTTACAAGGAATGGCAGTTTTTGAGTGAACTTTAACGTCCGCCCACTAAACCAGTTACGTAATATTACGTAATTTTTATGTAAGAAATATGTAATCTACATTACGTAATTAGATATTACGAAAGAATTACATAAATATTACGTAATTTTCCTGAAAAAAATATTACGTAAGATAAATGAAGATTTTATTTCATATATATTACATAAACTAGGCAAATTGTTGGAACTTCCCGTACCAATAATTATTTTGTTTTAAAAAGATTAACATTTTTGAAATAAAATTACTTTGAAAAAATTAGATTTTTGAGACTATAAAATTTTGACAAAAAATTACCTTTTTTGAAAAAAAGACTTTTGAAAAAAAATTTTTTTTGAAAATTCTAAACTTTTTTTCAAAGTAATCGTACTGCATTAACTGCATAGAGACGAAATAAAAATGGCTCGCGAATTTTCAAAAAATTAGATTTTTGAGAAACTATAAAATTTTGACAAAAAATTACCTTTTTTGAAAAAAAAGACTTTTTAAAAAAAAAATATTTTGAAAATTCTAAACTTTTTTTCAAAGTAATCGTACTGCATTAACTGCATAGAGACGAAATAAAAATGGCTCGCGAATTTTCGGAACATTTCGTTTCATGAACGAAGCTGTCAACCAATGAACGGCGCTAAGTGACATAAGTACCGTTATGTCTGCAAGGAGACTGCCGTGCCGAGGCCGCCGGCTGCGGCTACTACTAGGCAAAGATTATGGGAGTACGATTCGCCATGCGTTTTAAATTAAGTTTTGTGTTTTGTAGTGTCTTATCAATATTTTTAATTTGCTAATTAAATGTTAAATATGTGAAGATATATGTTTGTTATAAATGTATTCTAAAGCCTCTTAAATTACATGAATTACTTAAATCTTTACTCTAAAACGCTCCATTAACCTAAAAATTAATCGTGTGTGTTATTAATTTTTTTTCTAATAATAATTAGATATATAAAGAACTTTGTTTCAAATGTAACGGTATTCATATTCTAAATACTATTTTATTGTTAATATAAATTCAGTGACAAATTATATATAACAGAATTACTTGGCCTTTTGAAAACCATTTGCTTTGTGTAAGTATGTAAAAAATATATGTATCAAAAGTTAAATAGAAATTATTACCATGTTTTTTATTTCAGGTAAAAATCGAAAGCTAATAATTTATATCCGAGATGCATTTTTTCATCACAAATGAGCCATGAAATAGATATCGAGAATGCTTTTGTAGAGAAGACATCATAGACTTATACCACATTTAGTTTTAACAGAAGATACAGTTCCTAATTACGTAATATTTTCCATGAAATAGTTAATGAAAGAACTTATGAAGACTTTGTAAAGGATACTTCGATGATTTTTATTTCGAGTTTAATTTAAAATTAGCATTTCTCTTACTTATCATTTATCATATTGTATATTTTTCCATTTGCCATTAAAAAATGTTGATCAATATGTCATATGTAATTACATTATTTCATAAAAATTGTGAATTATTATTTATTACTTTATAGATTTTCTAATGTTAAAATTGTGTATATATGCCAAAAAAATAAACATGCCATATAAATGTGCTTTTTCTTTCATTTTTCAGATAGTGTATATATATATATATATATATATATATATGTATATATATATATATGTGTGTGTGTGTGTGTATATGTATGCGTGTGTGTACATACATATATATTATATATGTATGTACATTCTGTGTGTGTATACTCATTTCTATGTTCATGAATGTGTGTGTTCATATATACACATATGTGTATGCGTGTGTTCATATATACACATATGTGTGTATGTGTGTGTTCATATATACAGATATGCTGTGTATATTTATGTATGTGTGTAAAAAAGAACCCCTCCACGTCATTTTTTTTTCAAAAATTACGTAATTATTATGAAATATTTTCGTAATCCATATTACGTAATTCACATTACTTAAAATAGGCGAAATTATGACACATATCTTACATTAATCTTACGTAAAAATGACATAAGTATGTCATTTTTTTGCGTAAAAATTACATAAATATTACGTATTTTGGCTTAGCGGGCGATTTGTGCAGAAAATAGAAATAGAGTTTTTGAGAGAACGAAGTATCGGATTCGAATGATCTACAAAACTTTCTGCTTGTATTGACAAAACAATTGCTTTTGCGGATAAAAAATTATTACATCTTTTTTTATTTCCCATAAAATATTTTTGAATTTTTGGATTAAAAATTCAAAAAATTACCCAGTCTAAGCGCCATTCTGGTACAAATGTTTATCCAAGTGCGTTTAGACTGTGTTTTTACTGGAACACTTTTCCAATTTTGTGAAAACTACTATTGAAAAATGTGAAAATGCCGCCTAGCTAAGCACAGTAGAAGTGAAAATGTCGCACAGAATTATTTGCAAATGCGTTTAGACTATGACTATGCGGGAGCACTTTTTCAATTTTGTGTAAATTAGACAATAACTATTTCTTTTTGAAATTGAATTCGAAATGAAATGACGATTGTTAATGTTCTGGAGATAAATTGATTTATGATTTATGATTTACATTTAATTTGCTTAGATATAACAAAGATAGCAACAATTATGAAAGTTACACAGTATTTGTAATAATATATTTGAAAACGTTTAAAATTTCTCGAATATTTCATTACGGTACGGGAAGTTCCAGCAATTTGCCTTAAAGCACGATGCCATACACCACTAGTTTATAATTGTTGTTGTGAGTATATATCTGATATTTCTTGTATTATATAATTTCCATATAATTTGTGTTAAATGCCCGCCACTTCTATATTCAGAATCAGTTAGTTATTTTTTTATACTAAAAATTTTTTACAAATATTTTTTATGGCTTAATCATAGATAAAAGAACGTTTGCCGGACCAGCTAGTATATACACATATATACTACATGTCGTGTGTGACGGCGCCCTTACGCAAAATCTCTCCGCCGACCTTTAAACTATTCACCTGCTCGAACAAGATGTCTGCCATGTTAAATGTCACCCGCACGATTTGACATTTGACAATGTCTCCTACAATAAACAATAATATATTAATTTTACTATCAATTAACAAACTAAACAAAATGTTGTGATTAAACCTTAAACAAAACCGGCTCATCAAAGTTTCGTAAATTAAATGCATATTATAAACAAACTCGTGATCTATTTAGTTACTTGTGGCTTCGGCCTGTTGCTGTTCTACAACGTAAAACTACCAGAATCGAATCTAGCACTGGGAGCAAATGATTCAGTACGGAACTACGATGCATTATTCAATTATAAACATTTTGCATCCGCCTTAGTGCACAAGAACCGAACCCTACAACCCAGTAACATTTGGTGCATATTCGCAAAAATCGATAAAAACACAGAACTCAAAACCAAATTCAAAACATTCCTCACCAGCCTCCTAACCTACAGCTCGATCCCTTTACACTTGCATGTTATAACAGATGTAACGAGCAAACCCGAAGGCGATAGTATTATAAGAAATATCATTAGCAAGAATAAGAAAAAGGTGCTGTTCACTTTCTACGATGTGCACGAGAGTGCTGAGAAAATCAGTGATATTGTTAAGACTTTAACGCCACATTTTAGCTCTCAGCCGGGGAGCTATTATAGCGATGCCTTGTTTTATATATCGATGGGGCTGCATAGGATTGCACCCGTTAGTATGTATAAGGCTATATTAATAGACTGTGATGTCAAAATTAGGGGTGATATTAAGGAACTCTTTCAAGAGTTTAATAAGTAAGCAGAAATTATCACTTGTATATATGTATACATATATATATGTATATATATATATATATATATATATATTATTAATTTGTATTTTTTTTATTTGCAGATTTAATGGTAAACTTTTTGGGCTGGCTCCAGAGTTGACACCTGTTTATAGACATGTTTTATATCAATATCGACAAGTACATCCTGAAACAACATTTGGAAGTCCTTTTAAACATAGAACAAATTCTGAAACAAACGTTACATCGATTAGAACTAATGGTGCTAAAAATCAACAAGGATTTCCAGGTAAATAGAATAAATAAAACCTTGTATCAAATTTAAACAAAAACTTGTGGTGTATGGACTTAATCCTTAAGGCAAATTGCTGGAACTTTCCATATCAGAATTATATATTTGAGGGAAAAAAGAGTGCACGTAACGATCACACGGGATTGAAGTAAAACTTATTTGTTACTGTACAAAGTAACAAATTTAAGTTAAGTAAAAATAAATACATCATGTAACAATTTTGAATAATGCTTATTAGTAATATGGTAACACTCGTGATCCATACATTCATTAGTGTCGACCATCATTATACACATTTATATAATGATAAATTATAAATTATATATTTATAATAGCATTAAATTTATTTATAATATTTGAAAGAAATAATGTAATCAAAGTCATACTTGAAATATGATATGAAACTGATCATAGTGATGAGCATTCTGAAACAAACCTTCATTAGAGAAATAAAGTAATTGCTGATTAATAAATTCTATAATATTCGTTCACACAGTGGATTATGTTAAACAACTCCTAAACAAATATTGTTTGCAAATTCACTCATCCTGTAACAATTGTGCTTGAAAAACTTCATGTAATTAAAATTAACATACATTCATTGACTGTTTGTATTTTTTTACTTAATCTCATTCTTTGAACAGCTGTAATATCCGTCTTGCCTAACAAATTGAAGCCATACTTTTATATTTGTTTTATTTATCAAGCCCTGCACATAGCTTGATCTATGAATCATTTTCTTGTTTATGTGAACGTTAATGCAATGATCATCATCAATATTACGAGGTAATAAATTAACCATATTATTAACGTCAACAGGCACATTTATAATTTGTCCAGATATTCCAAATTGTCCATTTGCATGTCGCAATCGTCTAATTTGCATGAAACACAACCTAGGTGAAATTAACTTTTCAGATACAGTATCTAATTTAGGTAGATAATTTGATATAGGTGGAAATACAAACCCGTTAAATTTACTCAAAGTGGGAATTTTTCCAGAATTTAATGCTTTTCGACAAGTTTGACATCCAACCTGATTATTTGAATCAATATTGAGAAAGCCATTATTAAGAATTTGTTTTTGAGCTTCATTTAATATTTTTAAGTCACTTTGATATTATAATATATTTTTATATATTATATAAATGTGTATAATGATTGACGACACTGAGGGACGGGATAAAATATTCTTCCGATCCTGACATTTTTATTAAATCACGATTTATACCACTATTTAACCTTAAAAAGTTTTGACATAACACCGGAAATTTAAACAATATGCTTCACGCTTTCGGTGACGTACGCACGTATAAAGTCCCGTATAGAAATCATATCATCGAGAGCGAATGACTCTCACTTCAGCTTGGCGTAACAATTTCCGTTGCATTTGTACGGATTTACACCCATGTTGCGCCTAAAGAAGTTTTACTTATAACATTTATAGTCTATTTATTTCTGTATCTTTTCCCAGGTTACAATTCAGGCGTAGTGCTCCTAAACCTCCAAGCAATACGAACTTCAAAACTATACTCCAACCTTCTTTCCAATGAATCTGTAAAAAACCTCACAGACAAATATTACTTCCGAGGGCACCTCGGCGACCAGGATTATTACACAATTCTAGGATACGAACATCCTGAATTGTTTCAAACTATCGATTGCACTTGGAATCGTCAGCTCTGCACCTGGTGGAAAGACAGAGGGTACGTTGAGGTATTTGATGAATATTTTTATTGTCCGGGTAAGGTTAAATTGTATCACGGTAATTGTAATACGAATATACCAACGGATTAGTGGAAAAAGGGGGTAAAGGGAGTAAAGGACACATTTTTGCCTTTTAGATTAATTTTTACGTATAAGTGATATTTTGCAATCTTGAAAAGATTGGATTACGTAATTATATATGTTTTATTAAGGGGCACAACTAGTGTAACCGCCTAAAAAAAGGTGATTTTTGGGAATTTATATTTAAAAAACTACTTTATCAATCATTTCAAAATTTAAGGAATATATTTACACATGTTTTAAGAATGCATAGTAAAATTTTTGAAGAAAAAAATTAAATATTTTTTAAGTTATCGTCCATCTCCGACGGCGCGAAAAAAAGGCCCTTCACTGTTGCAGTGATTCCGGCCTTCTACGTGGATGAAATTTAAAAAAAAACTAGTGGTATATGGCATCGCGTCTTAGGGCAAATTGCTAGAACTTCCCGTACCGTAATGAAATGTTCGAGAAATTTTAAACGTTTTGAAATATATTATTACAAATACTGTAACTTTCATTATTTTTACTATCTTGTTTGTTATATCTGAGCAAATCAAATGTAAATCATAAATCAATTTATCTCCAGAACATTAACAATCGTCATTTCATTTCGGATTCAATTTGAAAGAAATAGTTTAGTTTCCTAATTTACACAAAATTGAAAAAGTGCTCCCGTATAGTCACAGTCTAAACGCATTTGAAAACAATTCTGTGCGACATTTTCACTTATACTGTGCTTAGCTTGGCAGCATTTTCACATTTTTCAATAGTTTTCACAAAATTGGAATTGGAAAAGTGCTCCAGTACATAAACAGTCTAAACGCACTCGGGTGAACATTTGTACCAGAGTGGCGCTTAGACGGTGCTTAGCCTGGGTCATTTTTTGAATTTTTAATCCAAAATTACAAAAATAATTTGTGAAAAAAAATTAGAAACAATTTTTTTTTCCAAAATCAATTATTTTGTTGAAACAAACAGAAAGTTCTTTGAATCAATTAAATCAAATCGGACGCTTAGTTCTCTCAAAAACTGCTATTTTTTCACATTTAGCTCTGTATCTCCGAAACCGCTGGGCCTACCTTTGCCAAAAATTGATCAGCACATCTCCCTATTAATACGAATCGAATGTTTTTTAAACCATTCAAATCGGTTGATCTGTGCGCCCGAAAACGTGGACGAAAAAATGCGGACATACATCAATTTTTTCTGAGGAATGCCAAAATGTTCAGAAACCTTCAAAACGTCGAGAAATGCAAAAATTTTCATTTTCGATTTTCGGCCCATTACTTTAACTACCCTACGGGAAGTTAAAAATTCTCACTAAACTAGATAATATTGTTTTAAAATGAACTACGATAAAAAAAATCAAAAATTGACAAAATGGCGGCGTTTTTTTGAAAAAAAGTCGAATTTTACCCAAAATTTTTGGTCTGTTGTTTTTGGACTGCCAAAATTCGATTTTTGATTCGATCAAAAAATCGATAGTTTATTTTACCGAGAACTATATATAGAACATGTAAAAAAAAATTGAAAGTGATCGGATCATTTGTTTTTGAGTAATCGCTGCAGCAAATTCGGAAAATGCTGTTTCTAGAAAAACGCGTTTAAAGATAAAATGATCGTTATACTATATACTATATATATACTCTTTAAAGGGCTGTGACTCAAAAACTATTTAAGATATCGATTTAAAATTTTGGTATGCTATTTTTAAAGGTATAACCTATCGAAATATGGAAAAATTAAAAATTCGATTTTTTGAAAATTTCACACTAGTTGTGCCCCTTAAATGACTTCTATAACTAAGGCCAGTATGGGATTACCTTATTACTATATGAATATCTATTTGCACGATTTATATTATAGAACAAAGTATTATTAAATTTTATAACCCTATATATATATATATGATTTTATCAAAAGACTCGATAATTATATTAAATATATATGAGTATTTATACATATAGATATAAATAATTATTATTATATAAATCAATAGCAATATTGTGTTAAGTTTTATTAAATGAACAAACTTTATGTTAAGTTTTAAACTCTAACGTTAATGGAAATTCATCGCGACTAACGTTAATTTAACGTAACGTTAACGTAACTATTTTTATTATAGATGATGAGTTGATATATATTTTTATTTGTGATGTAATATGCTTCCGTTTTGTATTAATTACTTTGTAACTATATCGTTAGTTTAAGTTATGTTATAGATATTTAGTGAATTTTATTAAAGTTTTATATTTGTGCATTATATACATATATATTAGGGTGGTCCTTAATATGGACATTTTCGAATTTCTTTGCTTCCAAGGGCTCAAATGCTTCCAAAAGAATAATAAAAAATCTCTGAAAGTTTTAACTCTTAATACTAACATTTAGATAGTCCGCGATTCAATTAAAATTATTATATTAGTATATTTATTATTAACATATCATTAAGAAAATTTTTGCGCCATCTGTGATAGCATTTGTGAACTTAAATATTATGACACTTAAAAATATTTATAAAACACTTTACCTCTAATTAAATCCATGTGGGCTGTTTAACGAAATATTTATTCATCATGGCATCAAAATTAATTTTGCATCAAAATATTTATTTAATTAGTGGTGTAGACACTCAAATTATCAGTAATAAATTGACATCAAAATTACAAGTCTGCTATCACAGATGGCGCAAGAGTTTACTTAATGATATATGTTAAAAAAAATACGAAGCTTGTAATTGAATTGGGGACTATCTGAATGTTAATATTAAGAGCTTAAACTTTCAGAGAATTTTTTTTTATCAATTTGGAAGCATTTGAGCCCTTGGGAGCAAAGAAATTCGAAAATGTCCATATTAAAAACCAACCTAATATATATATTTAGTAAATTTTTAATTATTATATCACGCAACAGATATTTTGTTAAACGAAAATATCAACTTGTTGCAATTACTGTTTTAACGTTCTATCATAAAAAAATCAATTTGTGCAATTATAAAAACAATATATTAACATTTTATATTCAATATAGTATTCGATAACAACTAAATCTATTATATATAAATATATATTTTATAACAATTGTATAAACACTCCTATACGCATAATATAAGTGCCATGAATCACATCAAGACATCTTTATATTATTCATCACAACTCATCCCTATTTGTTTTTTGTTTATTCGAGAAATATTGGTGCATTCTTTCTTCTCTCCAAGGCATTGGAAGGTTTAACCAGAAGTCTGCTCGAGATGTAAATAGATCAGTCTCTATTTTGCAGGTTTTGTCTATCGTGTAGTAATATACATCTTGGGAGGATTTGTTGGAAGTGTGCTCGGGCCAAGGGGGTTGGGTTGAATTGTCATCGAAGTGTGGTACTCTGAAAAATTGTAAATGATATATATATATATATATATATATGTATATATTTATATATAAATGTATGTGTGTGTAATTACCCATCTTTTGCAAAGTTGGTCCACAGTTCGATCATTTTTTGTACCATTTCCTTGTCCTGGTCGTTCAGAGGAATTTCAGGGAATAAATCTGAAAATTTTATACCAATACATATATATATATATATATATATATATATATATATATAAATAATTTCTTGGAGAGCGTAACATCAAGTAAAAAATATAAATAAAGTAAAGATTTTTTAAAACATCTTTATTTTTCCATACGTACACTGACATTTGGTGCTTGTTTCCAACTATTAATTTTTTACAAGCTGTTATTAATATGTGTAAGTGATAATCTAAGAATTTCAAGTAAGTAATGTTTTATGCAATATTTTAATTTAAAGTTTAGATATAATTAGCCTGTCTCTTTAGTTAAATCTCTTTCTTTTTATTTTTGCTTTTGTATATTTAATTTTTAACGTTACTTTCTGTTTTTTTTTTTCAAATTTGTAGAACCACTGACGATGACGTAGCATTTTATGTCGAAACGTATGGAAAAATAATGATGTTTTAAAAAATCTTTACTTTATTTATATTTTTTTACTGGATGTTACGCCCTCCAAAAAATTAATCATACATTTCTACATCAAATTTAAACACTTTCAACATATATATATATATATATATATATATATATATATATATATATATATATATATGATTCAATTATCAACTAATTCGTCGAATTAAATATGTTAAATTACTTTTCACTTTTCATTTATACGTTTCGGTTTCGGCACTTGATGTGTGTCATCATTCAGTAAATTTTGTTCCAAGTAATAAATGCCATTATTAAATAATATTTGAAAATTAATTTTAAAATTTATTAAGTGTAAATATATATACTACACCCGGAAAAATTTAAACACAAAATTTGAAACATACTTATTTTTAAAACAAAATTGAAATTTAATTAACAATAAACACATAACATAAACCAACAAAACAATAAAAATTAAACAAAGAGTTGTAGAAAAAGGTCAAATCGTAACTAGAAAATTATTCTTATTAATATCAATAAATAAATGATTAATTTCTTTTCTATTACATGAGAGATTATCAACTGTTTCAATAATAATAATTTTTCTCACGCCCCTTATTTTTAATTTTTGTTCTAAAATAGTACTTATGTGTATGTGTATGTTTTCATTTGTTAATTTATTTTTTATTTTTTAAAACTAATATTGTTCAAATTTTGTGTTTTGGTTTTTCCTGGTTTGGTGTGTTTATCTTAAATAAAACTAGTGGTGTATGGCATCGTGCTTTGAGGCAAATTGCTGGAACTTCCCGTACCGTAATGAAATATTTGAGAAATTTTAAACGTTTTCAAATATATTATTACAAATACTGTAACTTTCATTATTTTTGCTATCTTGTTATGTAAATCATAAATCAATTTATCTCTAGAACATTAACAATTGTCATTTCATTTCGAATTCAATTTCAAAAAAACAAAATAGTTGCCTAATTTACACAAAATTGAAAAAGTGCTCCCGTATAGTCACAGTCTAAACGCATTTGTAAATAATTTTGTGCGACATTTTCACTTATACTGTGCTTAGCTTGGCGGCATTTTCACATTTTTCACTAGTTTTCGTTTTCACAAAATTGGAAAATCGCTCTAGTACATAAACAGTCTAAACGCACTTGGGTAAACATTTGTACCAGAGTGGCGCTTAGACCGTGCTTAGCCTGGGTAATTTCTTGAATTATTTAATCCAAAATTACAAAAATATTTTATGGAAAATAAATAAAGATGTAATAATTTTTTATCTTCAGTAGCAATTGTTTTGTCAATACAAGCAGAAAGTTTTTTAGATTATTCAAATCGGACGCTTAGTTCACTCAAAAACTGCCATTTTTTGTACATTTAGCCATGTATTTTCAAAACCGCTGGACCTGTCTTTGCCAAAAACTAATCACCTCTGCTCCCAATCATTACTAATTGAATGTTTTTTAGATCATTTAAATCGGATGCTCCGTTCTCTCAAAAACTCGATTTGTATTTTCTGCACTCTTTGCTCCGTATCCTGCCGAAAATATTTTCATTTTCGATTTTCGGCCCATTACTATAACTACCCCACGGGAAGTTAATTAAAAAAATATAATATTGAGCAAAAAAATTAAAGATTACATTTACTGAATTATAAAGGGTCGCATAAAGGGTCGAAACGTACAAATAAAACTTAAAAATTAATTTATCATTTTTTATCCAAACTTCCAAACGCAATTTGATTACATTGTTGTCTGATGCAACATTGATAGTTTGAATCTTTGCTTCAACATCTAAAAATACGGTATTCACACTGTATATTTTATTTACAAAAATTTTACCTTTTCCAACTGGGAACAAGTATTGCAAATCGTCAGCATGACAAACTCCATAGTCCTTTTCCTTATCGCCAAAAATCCTGGTGAAGCTGGCAGCGCCTCTGTAGGCGAACAGATAAACATAAGTGGCAGCTCTAAGAGATGGCGGTAGGCGCCTCCTGGCTCGCACCGTCTCGTGCATACAAGACACGAACCAATGGTCAGACATCAACTAAAAGGGGCAAAACAAATATGTTCGGAGTTGATATTTATATCATACTAGATGACCCGGCAAACGTTGTTTTGCTAAGTAAGGTATATTCTAAACAATTTCTAGAGAATCAAAAATATTAATACTTTAAGTGTATAAGGATACGTTGTTTGAATGCTATGTACAATGAGGTATTATAGAAACAATAAACCCCATTAGTTTGTCTATATTTTGTCAATACAATCAAACTGCAAGTTTTATACACTTTCTATAGAAAACATCGTATAATCCAATCCAAGTCATTTTCGGTCTTTCGACATATTGATTACGTTTCAAGATTCTTTTTTGATTCAGGATTTTGTATATGATTGTAAATAATACTACTGAGCTTATACAAAATTTTCAAATTTCTGCGAGGAGAGATAAAAAATGAATTAAGTATTTCTTCTTTGACCTGATTTTTGAAAAGTTTCAAGTAACATTCGATGAATTAAAGTAAATTTAATAAAAACTATATATGTAGAGCAGGTCGAGGCACAAAGGTCCAATTTGACTTTGAGCAAATGTTAATTATATTATAAAAATCAAACCAATTATATCACAACAAATAACACATTTCAAACAAACAATTATCTGACTACTTATACTTGTTTATCTATGCTGACTATGTTCAGTAAAACTGCCAGCTAGTTCATCATTGTAGAAATGTGCTTTTTTACTGTCTTTCAAAAATTTGTTATCTAGACCTTTTTACCCTATAGGCGGGTAACTTGGAACGGCCAGGTGGCAAACAGGTTTAAAGTCTTATTTTAATTTTAAAGGATTTTACAAAACAATTACATTTTTAACTAATGCCAAAAAACAACCAACGGAAGAAAATACTTTTATTATGGATTTTCAAAGATTACCATTTATCTCTCGATAGCAAAGTCATGATAATCAAGATTATAGCTGGTTATGCATCTTGTTCCCTCTACTTTCAAATATTGTTGTTAAACAATGCTTAACTTTAGTGATTTTTGACACATCGCTGGTGGGCCTTTTTAACCCCGAACCTCCATATATTACTATTTATTCTTCAATAAATTATGGGAAATTATAACTGGAAAAATCTCATTTCGCAAAATGTCCCTTTGATCGATACCAAATTTAGGTTTTGAATTTAAATAACATAAATAAAAAATGATATAACCTAGAAAATGTTTTATAAATACCAATCAGTATATAATTGTATAATTGTATAAATGAGATCTTTCAGAGCACTGTGTTTGAGAAAAATATGCCAAAAAGTGCATTTTCATATTAACATTTCAAAAAAGTTGATATTTAGTTTCTAGTAACACTTCAGGCCCGTTTAATAACGTTTTTGTGTACAAATAAAACTACTTACTACAATTTAATCATGATTAAATAATATTCAGGTGAAACATGCTATTAAACGTAATTGAACATCATCTGTCAAAAACGTTTGACATTTGACGTATTAGCCACCGTCCATTGTTTTATTCAAATTGCGCTTCTACAAAAAATTTCAAATTAAAAATGTAAAGTTTCTACGCGATTTTGAAATAATATCTCACTTTTTCGACAACCTACTGATTGGCACGAATTTTTCAAGACTGAGACTGGCCAAATCGGTTTAGCCGTTTTCGAGTTTTACCGAAACATTTGATCGAGAGCTCCAAGATTTAATCTAATTTATATTTATATTTAATCTGATCACTTACATCTGTGACGTTTCTCCTGGTGTCTTCACACACGGATGCACCATTTGGTAAATAAGCGTCACGTATAGCACGTGACAGACGTTTCGAATGTGACCCATCATCATTTAGATGTTGCGCTTCATATTGCAGCAGAATTGGTGCGATATCGTTCCATTTTTCGTCCAATTCTTTTGCTAAATGAGGATAAATTCCGAACAAGGCTGGTGGATACACAATTATGCGTCAACAATTAGGATATTAATGAAATTTTAATGTTTGGTGTAATTTACATGCTGTTTTTAGGGCCCCTTCGTCCTTGGTGACGCCTGTCATTAGGGGAATTTGTGCTCCCCAATATGTTTTGCCGCGGTTTAGCATAATTTTCCTGGGGTGTTCCGTTATAAATGCATCGGGGTGCTCCGGTTCCACAACTGGTGGAAATGCGATCATGGGATCTGTGTCCCATTGCTGAAATAGAAAAGAACTTGATAATGAATTGATTTTTTTTATTGAACATCGATCAGAAGTTAAGGGGCACAACTAGTGTAACCGCCTAAAAATAAGGTGATTTTTGGGAATTTATATTAAAAAAACTACTTTATCAATCATTTCAAAATTTCACGAATATATTTATACATGTTTTAAGAATGCATAGTAAAATTTTTGAAGAAAAAAATTAAATATTTTTTAAGTTATCGTCGATCTCCAACGGCGCGACAAAAAAAGGCCCTTCACTGCTGCAGTGATTCCGACCTTCTACGTGGATGAAATAAAAAAAAAAAATCTCGTTAAACTAGATAATATTGTTTGTAAAATGAACTACGATGAAAAAAATAAATAAAAAATTGACAAAATGGCGGCGTTTTAAAAAAAAAGTCGAATTTTACCCAAAATTTTGGTAGTTTTTGGACTGCCAAAATTCGATTTTTGATCCGATCAAAAAATCGATAGTTCATTTTACGGAGAACTATATATAGAACATGTAAAAAAAATTGATAGTGATCGGATCATTTGTTTTTGAGTAATCGCTGCAGCAAATTCGGAAAATGCTGTTTCGAGAAAAACGCGTTTAGAAACAAAATGATCGCTATACTATATACGATATATATACTCTTTAAATGGCTGTGACTCAAAAACTATTTGAGATATCGATTTGTTAAATGTTAAATTTTCATATATTATTTTTAAAGGTGTAATCTACCGAAATATGAAAAAAAAAACAAAAAACGATTTTTTCGAAAACCCCCTTAAGGGTTCTGTAAGCGCCCGGCGCAATGTTTATTAAAAAAGTCAATTAAAAAATCACTACACACGGACGGACCCTTTATTACCTCGAAGGACCAGATATAATTTATGATTAGAATGGCTATATCAGACCTTTAAAAATAAGTAAGTTAAATAAGTTGGTTTAGTTATTAATAGTATTTATTTGTTTGATGTTCATGGTTCAAGTTATGCGTACAGAATGAGGATTTCTTATAACTAGCTTAGTACCCACAGTAAGGTAGGAAATTATTTTATTATGTCAGGTAGAGAGAGATAGATTTATAAAATTTGTGAGGCTCGAACAGGTTCTATGAGCTGTTGTGATGAATTACTTAACTACCTAGGTCGAAGCATCGTGAAGTAAATCATAGCATCAAGTAAAAACCAATGTAATTACTGCTTGCTTACTACTTAATCTGGGACCTCTGATTCAAATCCCATTTCTCTAACCACTCACCTACGGGCAAGCCTTTTTTGTTTAAGGGGGTATTCTAGTGTAGAGCGATAAATTTTACATCATTTTTAAAGTGTCGTAAAAGAAAGCAATAAATGGTTTTACTATACAGTTTTTTACCACTTGTTTATTAATATTATTAAAATACAATACAAAAATTTAAAAAAAGTTGAAAATTGAAGAAACTGGCAGCTGATGAAGTGGGGGGGTCTCAAAAAATTGGCACCTCAGTCTATGCATGATTTCAGCCCTCCTAGCCATCCGAAATAAAAGAAATAAAAAAATTATTAATCTACAATGATGTCGCAATCGCCCGAACTAACGATGAGTAAAAAAAATTTTTTCTTGCAAATTGTCGACTGTTTGAAAAAAAGTATCTTTATTTACTGTTTTTTTGAGTTTCTCGATTTTTTTAAAAATAGTAAAAATTGGAATTTGGGGATAATGCTAGTTCGAGCTATAGATAGATCTATAAACAAGGCTCTCCGAACATTTCAAGTGAATTGGTCGAGTAGAACTCGAGAAATCGTGTCAACAGCACTGAAAAAGTCCGTTCAGAGAAAAACGCTTTTAAAGTTTTGCGTGAAGTTTTTTGCTGCCAAAGTCATAAAATGATATGTTATACTTATTTTATTTATTTTGCCATTCTTGCTTTATGCATCGGACCTTCCTCTACTTCAAAAAAACTATTTTCTGCATTTCTCTCTTAAAATCGAACAGTTCTAGCCTCCTTTGAAGCGTTGGATGTACGTATTTCAAATCGTCGAATCCGGGCATTGTCTCGTCTTAGGGCAAATGAATGAGTTTCTGTCCCAATTTGCATTACCAGAAGGGTCATCATTTTTAAAATCGGAAAGAAATCTTCATTGAATAAGCAAACAGCAATAAATGTTGCTATTTCAATTACCCGAGATCGGGAATGAATATTTTTCGGCGCGAAAATCCAACGAGTTTAGAGATTCATTATTGCTCTGAATTTCTAAACCTATACATCGAATTAATAATTCATCTAACGATAGACTGTCTTAAATTAGTCTAATGACTTCCTAAAGACTTTTGCCCGATGAGACCCTGCCAAACCAGTTTGGAGACCAAGTCAGTAAAATGCCTATATCACCGAAACTAATTCAAATTTTCAAAAACCTTCTCGTACCCATATTCTTAGATAGTTGAACTTTGAAAATAAATAAAAAAAATCAATTTTTTTAATTTCTACACTAGAATACCCCCTTAACATAATTTTAAATCAACTTACAAAGAATTCGTAAAACACGTTGGTAACTATCTCGGCAGGAAGTTGCCTTAGACATCTCAGCGCCCTCGACCAATCGTAGTCATCGTGCCAACAGCCTAATTTTTGGGCCAAGATCTTGGCCCTGGTTTCTGGCTCACCAGGAACTGGAGGAGCTGCCCATGGGCATAAGGAAGTCCCAGATTGGGCGATCGCTTTGTGGAACAAACCCTTGGGAACAGATATTTATAAAAAAAAATTGGACCAGAAATGTATAGTGGATTTCAGGATGTTATGTAATCTAGAACCAGGATTTTGTCTTTTACCTTTAGATTTTTCCGACAGCATGTGATAGTCGACACTTGCACCGCCTGCACTTTCACCAAACAAAGTGATGGATGAGGGATCTCCTGAAAACTTGGCGATGTTGTCCTTGATCCATTTTAAAGCCAAATTCTAAAGAGCAAGAATTCTCAACACATTGATAATGAATATATATATATATATATATATATATATCTACATATATTTTAAAAAATAAGTCGGATTTTCCTTCCTGACGATATAACTCCAGAACGCACGAACCGATTTCGACAATTTTGCATTCGTTGGAAAGGTCTCGGGCACCGCAAGGTTCATAGCTAAGAAAATTAGTGGTGCATGGCATCGTGCCTTAATACAAATTGCTAATTAAAAATTCGAGTAATGACATTAGTAAGAATTATCAGAATTATGCGTGGTTAAGTCAACGAGCAATTCTAGCCGCAAAGAATAATGATGTACACGCACTAAATTTTACCATTCAATCAAAAATTGCTGGCGATTTGGTGACATACCAATGATTCCGACTGGTCTTCCGTTTGACTTCAAACGATTTCAATTTCCAGTTCGCCTTGCGTTCGCAATAACATGTCGCAAGGCCAATCGATTAGTGTTTGCGGGATAAATTTCAAATAGATTATTTATAAGATCATTGTTTTTCACATGGGCAGTTCTACGTTGCCTGTTCACGAGTCGGAAAACCATCCGCTTTGTTTATGTTAACGTCAGACCATAAAACAAAAAATGTGGTTTACCAAAGAGCACTGCAATGAAACGGATAATTGGCGGATTCACTTTCATTTACTTAGAGAAGTTCAACTGAAAAACACTTCATTTTTGTAATCGAAATAAATTCATTACTGTTCTATAATAAAAAGAATTTTTCCTTTTCAAATATAAAACAAACAAAAAATTTCTTCATCTTTCTCACAAAACCATCTGGTGGCAAAACGGAGTTCGTCGGGTTTGCTAGTATATATATATATATATATATATATATATATAATTTTATTACCTGGTCCTTGAGTCCATTATTTCCTGGACAATTCAAATCGCCGGTGCTCAAAAAGCCTAAAGGACCTGCGAAGAAAATAATATTGATGTGATAGAACTTTGTTAAGATTTTGAGAAGATATTTTTTACCTAATCTGTAGTTGACTCCCACCAGGACGACGTCCCGGTCTAACAAATGTTCTGGTCCATAGAAGGAACTTATACCGGAACCGCACATGAAACCGCCTCCGTGCAAAAATACCATTACCGGTAATAGATTCTGAAAAAGTAACTAGCTGTAAGTGGAATTCTGTCTTAAGGCAATTAAGGCATCGTGCTTTAAGGCAAATTGCTGGAACTTCCCGTGTCAAAAATTATTATTTTTTCAAAAAACGATTAACATTTTTGAAAAAAAATTACTTCGATAAAATAAGATTTTTGACAAACAATTAAACAAAAAATTACTTTTTTTTGAAAAAAAATATTTTTTTTAATTTTTTTTTTTGAAAAAAAAATGTTTTCTTTATTTTGAGATATTTTGAAAGATCTAAACTTTTTTTCAAAGCAATCGTACTGCTTTAACTGCATAAAGACGAAATATCAAACCGCGTCGACGTCTAACGCGTAAACATTGGTACGGAACCCATAGGAATGTAAACCAAAATTATACTTATTGTTAAAATCTCTATAAAATATCTGATAATTTGATGTGCATATGTCTAATGATCATTTTTGACCGCCAAATGGCATTTTTTTTTACTTTTTTCATTAGATCTCCGAAACCGCTAGACCTGCCTTTATGAAAATTTGATCGGTTCTTCACCTTGTCAATACAAGTAAAATGTTTTTTGAATTATTAAAATCGGACGCTCCGTTCTCTTAAAAACTGAGTTACCGTTTTTGCGCCTTTTTGCCCCGTATCTTCTAACTAATCAGCACGTCTCCTTATCAATACGAATCGAATGTTTTTTGAATTATTCAAATCGGTTGATCGGTGTTCCCGAAATCGTCGACGAAAATTTGTATCCGCACGCACACACACACACACACACACACACACACACACACACATACATCCATTTTTTCTAAGGTATGCCAAAATATTCAGAAACCTTTCAAACGTCGAGAAATGCAAAAATTTTCATTTTCGATTTTTTTGCGATTACTATAACTTGCCCTACGGGAAGTTAAAAAGATAGTAAAATAAATCACAAACGATATAATCAAGTTGCACAAAATAAAGTAACGTTAGGTTGAGAAAACGTGGATATTAAGTATAGTCTAGTCATATTATTCCATAGTTTAAATATTAATGCTAATAAAATAATATATAAATCACTAAGGGTTTGCATATGATTTTTCTGGATTTTTCGAATTTCCCTTAAAACTTAGTCCGAGACTATTGTGCTTCTAATTTTCTATGCATTTTTTAACGTAGATACTTCTTTTCTGTTTGTTACGTAACACCAACGTTAAATGTGTTCGAATATTATTGCAAATAATATCAAAAATATTATTTTGAACTAAATTCGTATTTATAGACATCCATGGTTCTAATTAGCTAATATTATTTAAATAATTTATCAATAATAATTTTTAAATTTGTTATTTTGTAAAAATATGAAAATATGAGTTCACTTATAAATTATATTTTAAATTAAATATGAAGTATCTTATATTCATTTTCAAATTATTCATCAAACAATAAAATTAAAAATATAATAATTATTATTAAAAAAATAATATTGAACTTAATAACCAATTTAACCTTATTATTTAAAGTTTTATTATTCTAATATTTTTATTTATTTTATTTTTAATAATTTAATAACTCTAATAAGAGGCCTTATGCCAAAAATTTTGATAATCTCGTTTACTAACACTGTTATGTTTTTTTAATTTGATTTAAAATAATGGATACGTACATAACGCTTAATTAATTAATTGTTCGATTATAATAATATTTATAATTAACAATATGATAATTATGTTTGTCCTTTCTCATTATGGAAACAATTTATCAATGTTTATCACATTGTTGAGATAAATCTTAACAAAGCCATTTATATAAATATACATATATATACATATATATATATGTATCTTTCATCTTATATATATATATATATATATATATATATATATATATATATATATAATATATCTTATATATATATATATATATATCTTATATATATATATATATATATATATCTTATATATATATATATATATATATATATATAATATACTTTCATCATATATATATATATATATATATATATATATATATAAATTATAATTGAGTTGAAAATGCAACTCATGGAGATTTGTTCTCAGAGAGAAAATTGCAATGTGTCATTAAAGAAAATTGATAAATTATATATGATTACTTTTTGCGCTTATTGATGGTTTTGTGGTTGACTTTGTTATATAATTTCAATTTGTGGGGAATCAAGCAGGCTAGAGATCGAGGAAAAACAAAATGATTTTGTCATTTTTATTTATCATAAAATTTTGTAATTAATAAATTGTTTATATTTTCATCCAATGGATTTTATATTTTTATATTCATGACTTTTTCCTACACTGGTGACCCACGACGTTTGAGATGAAGACAGAGAAGGAGCATTTTTTGAGGATTTAAAAAATATAGATTTTGATGCAGCACCATAATCACTGGTCTTCCGTGACTACTTATAAGATACGTCCATCCAGTCCTCGATTCATCGTAGTTAACGCATTTACTACCTGACACCGGACTTCTGTTGGTATACCCATTTTGTATACCCAGACCTCAGTGTTTATTGCTGACACAAAAATTAATTCTGAGCCTAGACCTTGGATCATGAATTGAATGCACTATCAAATGGTCATTGGAATCGCGATTCAACCTCTCCTTGTCCGTTAACTCACCAAATCGTCTTTTGATGCATAAGACTTTAAGACTGCATCTTGTCAAGTTGATGACTCTTTAATACGCTTTCCTTCGAATCACATCTGATTCGAGAATCCGATGTATGATCCAAAGGGCTACAGAAGTCAAAAAGATCGTGGAACGTTTCAGAGGTTTCTGTATATTTTGGCATACCTTAGAAAAAATGGATGTATGTGTGTGTGTGTGTGTTTTTGTTTTTGTCCTAGTTTGGTTCAATATTTTGTATGATGAAATTGAAGTAAATTATTTATTACGATTACGATTACCTTTAAAACTTAATTTAGAACTATTAACACACGTAAAATAGAATTTACCAACTACATATGGTACCTTAACCAAATTTCTTACCTTTTTTTTAGATTTTTCTTTTTTTGTGTGTTTTCCTTCAAAAGAGTGGAAACAAAACTTTGGGTGTAAAATAAGCGAAAAATATATCTTCATCTATTTTAATATTAATCTAATAATTAATTATTACTTTACCTCGTTTTCACCTTCATCTTTTAGTTTCGGGGTGTGTATACTCAGATAGAGACAGTCTTCTTGTCCGCTCACTTTTTCTTCCCTTATATAAGGGTTCCTTTGGGCACAAATTGGGGCATCTTTGGTACAATCCAAAAACACCTCCGGATTGTCCGGGGACGATTTTAAGGGCACGGGAGCCTGAAAGATGCACTTTCGATAAAATTGTTATTTGATGTTTGTGCGTTTTGTAGGTTTAGTTTTAGGTTTGATCGCACAGAAAATCCATAGCTTTTAGACAGTTTGTTACTACCGACTCACTCATACGAAGATAGACCCCTAACATATAACGTTACTTTTTTATCGAAAAATTAACCCCAGAATATAAAAACATGTATTTTAACTGTTAGTTATTAAAGAAAAACTGCTTGTCACCAAAAATTGTTTATTACATATCCAAACTTATATTTTTTTAATAAATTTTGAATTGATCAGGATAAACTTGATAAGTTTGATCTTATGGATAAACATGCATGCATATTAAAATACAACGTTAAAATAACGTGATACTAATAAATTAATACCACACAAAATGTTATGATCGTCAACGATAACATTATTACGTACTTCATTTTTATCGATAAATATATACATTATTTTTTAGTTTCACAAAATATAGCAACGTTAAAATAACTTCACACTGTTTCCGTAATGTTACGTTTAGTAAACGCAACTGTGACAAAAGTGAAAATCATAATGGCACTGACTTTTTATTTATATATTATTACTATTTATTATTATCCTAAATATTATTATTATTTGTATATTATTATTACCTTGAACCTCAATTCGCCCAAAGGAGGAACCGCATAGGGAACCTTCAAGAAGGAATAAATTTCGCGCCCTTTCAGAGTTTTCAAAACTGTTCCTTTGAGTACGAAATTGTTTTTCAAACGAACTGTTTGAGAATCACTCGTTTCCAAATTGCACAAAAATATTAAAAATATTAATTTAAATAGACTGTTTAACTTAACACTGTTCGACATTTTTAAAACTAAAAAAACCTGCACAAAATAAAAAAAATATCTCGAATTATTTTAACAAACATAGGTTTCAATTGTAATTCTAATAAAATTATTTTTTATTGGTATTTGTAAATAAAGAAAATTATAAATTAAATTTAAATATTTAAAATGATTAAATAACTAATACGTACACATTGTTTTAACTAATATTTAATTGTTTTAATTACATTTAATGTACTTTTTAATAAAATAATATATTAACAATGACATTTCAACAATTATCAATAATTATTTTAACTATTGTTCATATTAAATACATAAACTCTATTTTGCACTAAATTTAGGGTTTATATAAATTTTATTAACCCAAAAGCAATTTTATCTTTTTTATATACAAATTGTAATTTTAATAATAATTATTCACAACTATTTTGTTATTTTTTATATAAAATGCATGAATATTTGTTTTACACCAAATTTAAAGTTTATATAAATTTTATTTACTTTAAGCATTTACTGAAGCAATATTATCTTTTTTTGCACTAATTTTAATTTTAATAATAGTTAATAAAAATTAATTTAAAAATTTTTCATATACACAGCTTTACACCAATTTTAAGGATTATATGAATTTTATTTTCTTATTTTATTTCATTATTTTTTATACACTCATTATAATTAATATTAACATAATTTTTACAAAACACTTTAATTTTTTTTAACTTAAATATTATTTATTTTTGTATTGAATGCATGAACTTTGTTTTACATCAAATTAAAGATTTATTGATATATAAATTTTATTGACAAAAACAGTTTTATACTTTTGATGCACTAAATGCAATTTTATTTTTGAAAATATATTTTTGATCAATTGTTTTTTAATATTTTTATAAATTTAATAGTCAGCGTCTGCTTGTTTGCATAAATAAACTGAAGTTGTGATTAATTTTATTTTTATTGATTTTTATCGATTTTTTAAAACACTTTGAACCGGTTTTTGATGAAATTTATATATTTATATGTATATATGTATATATGTATATATATATATATATATAAATATATATATATATATATATATATCAAATTATATGCACCTGTATAAAAACGTCTTAAGTCTTAGACATTCGATGCGCGAATGAAATCAATTGAATTAAACATATATAAATATATTTGTATATATATATATATATATATATATATATATTAATATATATATAATATTATAAATGTATATATGTTCAAATAAGATGTGCCATTTTACTTCAAACAATAAATAAATTAATCACAAATGCCACTCAATGATAACCCATCAATAAACACTTCAATACCATTTTATTTAATAATCACAATAAAATTTTTGTTGTTTTATATTTTATACATTTACACTTAAGTATAAACAATTTTTAAAAAATATAAAATAATTAAATAAACTCTTATTAACTATTTATTTATAATAATCTCTGTATAGAGTTTCTCGCGGTGAAAGTTTTCTGCAATTTCTAGGTTACCGACGGTCACTGTATTAAATATTCAATTTTTAACTTACTATTAATTTAACTTTTAACTAACTAATTATTTTAACTGGTGGTGTATTTAAATATTTAGTTATTTATTTATTTTGTTTTTTTTCGAAAAAAAGTAGTTAGAATTGATTTTTAAGTTGTGATTTGTATGCAAGTTGACCCGTGAGGTCAACGATACTTGCATATGTAAATGTAAAAGTTTAAAGATTGAATTCGTTTGAATTAAAATATAAAAGACATTATTGGATTCGTGAATAAGTCAATAGAACACACTTACACACACATATCTTGGTTCTTTTTCCTAAGTAAATACTTATTTTATGAAATATATCAAATTTTTATTGTATTTTTTTTTCATTTATGACCAAAATAAGCAAATACAATGTTGTTCTCAAAATTTTGATTCACTTGTCGCTAAGTTGAAAAAATCTAAAAAACGAATGGAATTTTACCCATATTATTTCCATAGAAAATTTGATTTTAGTGCGGATTATGTTAAAGTTAATATTAAGAGCTAAAACTTTCAGAGAATTTTTTTTATCAATTTGGAAGAATTGGAGCCTCTGGGAGCAAGAAAATTCGAAAATATCCATTTTAAGGACCAGCCTGATATTTTTTTTCTGGAATAACCCTTCGTTTTTATTCCAAAATTTGAATCTGAAAATCTATCTTTTGGTGATTCTCTATTAATATAGATTCACATAGAATTATAATTGATAATACATATAAAATAGGGAAAATATACAAACAATTAATAAATGTATTTATAAAATAGTATTTATATTATATTATATATTTAAAAAAACCTAAACTTAACTCAAATATAACTAGGTGAAAATGGCATTTAGCCTTAAGGCAAGTTGCATGAACTTCCCGAAACGTGTAAGAATTGACTTAATCAACCGAAATTGAAATTTATATATTTAGATAAAATTAGGCAATTGTTTATTTCAAAAATAAAGTTATCGCTTTCAATTAAATCTATACATTGCGATTTCAAATAGAATTTTCTCAACACATTTAAATTATCTGTAATATTATATTAATTATATTGCACAGATACGTGCTTGTATGTCCTAAAATTGAAGCTTATTATTTTAAATTTTAATGAATTGATAATGTTTGACTCATCACATTACAAAAGCACACAAATGACTTTAATATTTTCTCAAACTTTGATGAATTTTTAACATAAAACGACTTGTCGTAGGGCCGTAATATTTTAGTATTTTTTATAAGACCATTATATCTATTGCCAAAAAAGGTTCATAAAAATCTTGATAATTTTTTTTTATTACAAAACACTTTATTACAAGAAAACGGCCCGGCCGATCTTTACCAAAAACTAATCAGTATCTTTCGAACGGCTTTTGAATTTGCAAAAAAAAATTGGACGACTTTGATTCGACAGATTTGCGGGCTAAAACGTGGATGAGAAATTTTTCACTTTTCTTGTTATTAACTAAAACTTTATATCTAATCTAAATTTTTTCGATAAAATGAGTTTTGATTAAATTATAAATGAATAAAATTTGCTTGAAATATTTACCACATGTTTGTTTATACATTTCTCGTCTGAATAATTATTTAGGTCTTTGCTAACATCAAATCAAGTGTAACGTCGTATCGAATTACTTATTCATTTAAATCTACTTTCGCTTTTAAATCTAACAACATTCTCAGTAATAAAGCAACAAGTGTGCCTTTTTGCACATGACACATAAAAAAGTTGTAAATTAGTAAAATAAAAAAATTATTTTTTATTTTTTCGATTTTATTTAAATATATTAGGTATATTCATTGAATTGAATCATTGTTTATTATCATTTCTAAAGCACTGAAGACGAGTCAAATTAAGACTCGAAACGTAGGCTAACTTTTAATTTATTGCGTTTTTTAACAAGTTTATTAGTCCAGTCATTTGGTGCAAAAAAAGGCTGTTGCCGAACAGTACTCCGGGAATTCTGAAAATTGGTAATCTTATAGATTTCGACGTGCTCTTTACGAAAATCAACTTTGCCCCCTCTAATTTGAACGGCAAGTTGCCGCTATATTGGAAAAATGGCGTCAAACAACAGCTTTTTTAAAATATCTCCTTTTGGCTGATTCTACGATAAAAGTATCTATGCACGAATTAAACTAGATAAAATTTCCCACAATTCTTTAAAAAACCGTTTTTTTGTAAAATTGATAGTTTGAGAGTACGGCCGCCTCAAAGTCTTTGCTGCTCTCGCCGTAGTATCAAATCTGTCCATATATGACAGAACTTCGAAATTGACCACATTCTCTCTAATAATTAATATTTTCAATGTTAAATTAAGCGAATAAGATCTAGAAATAAAATAATTCAAATATTTATCGTTTTTTGCTGATTTTTTAACACTTCAATGGCAAAGTAGCTATAAGTAAGTAGCTTGAAATGTTAAAAAATCAGCAAAAAAACAGAAAAATATTTGAATTATTTTATTTCTAGATCTTATTCACTTAATTTAACATTGAAAATATTTATTTATTAGAAGGAATGTGGTCAAGTTCAAAATGCTGTCATATATGGAGAGATTTGATACTACGGCGAGAGCAGCAAAGACTTTGAGGCGGCCGTATTCTCAAACTATCAATTTTACAAAAAAACGGTTTTCTAAAGAATTATAGGAAATTTTCTCTAGTTTAATTCGTACATAGATACTTTTATTGTAGAATGAGTCAGAAAGGAGATATTTTAAAAAAGCTGTTTTTTGACGCCATTTTTTCAATATGGCGGCAACTTGCCGTTCAAATTTGAGGTGGCAAAGTTGATTTTCGTAAAGAGCACCTCGAAATCTATAAGATTACCAATTTTCAGAATTCCCGGAGTACTGTACCGGCAAAACGACCAAATGACTGGACTATTAGTCAAATCAAGACTCGAAACGTAGGCTAATTTTTAATTTATTGCGTTTTTTACAAGTTTATGAAATTTTTCGAATTTAAAAAATTCTTTATATAGATAAAACATTATAAAAGATTATAAAAATAATGTGAGCAGACGAAATTCAGTGAATTTTTAATAGGGACTTTGAATGAATAACTAGCATAATTTTTGTTCATTTACTACTTAATTAAAACTAATTTACCATTTAATGGAAATTCATTAAGATACTTGATATATGCGTTTGTTAAAAAATGAATTTAGAAAAGAATTTTAACTATCTTTATTAAATTTTCCATTTAAATTGTGTGTAAAAATCGCACTGAAAAGGAGTCAAATCAGAACTCGAAACGTCTACTAGATTAATTACATTAATATCATATAATATTCTTTGTGTATGTTTATATGCAGCCAAATTTTCGAAGTTAAACACAATAAATAATTAAACTTTGTCCACCCCATTCAGAATTAAAAATTATTAATGAATTAAAAACATAATTAAAACACAAAATATATTTAAATTAAGCGTAGTATTATAGCAAAACGGCAAATGATTTTACAAAACAAGTTTAATAAATTAAATA